CTTATTTTGTAGAGGAGATTTGCAACTTTCGTTTACAATTTTCAATTAGTTTATAACATTCATCGATTCTAGTTTATAACATCAGGTTTCTATCGTTGGAAATTTATGGAATGTTGAAATCCGCATTTTTTATGCACTTACCTTTGAGCAGTAGCTTAAAGTGTTCATTGAATACTTAGCTTTCTTTTTCTTTGGTTTAAACATTGTAAAGACAAACAGGAATGTAACAATAATGATTCGTTTGTAAACAATAACAGAAATGATTCGTTTTAGGTGAAAGATGAAGATGAAATACTTTTCATCTTTAGAACTTCTTCAGAACTTCAGAACTGACCTTATTCAATCCCTTTGTGCTAAAAATTCCCTTTGTGTTTCGATAAAGTGAAAAAGCAAAGAAGATCTTCCAATAAATGTCTAAACTTATGTTTGATTGGTTAAATTTTAAAGCCAAACTTTCTTCATCAATAGTCACAAAATCTTTAAGATCATTGTAGAGAAAATAATCAACAAAACCGGAGATTATGCCAAAGCCGAGAACGAAGAAGACAAAAATTCTGAACGAATTTTAGTTGAATTACCCAAATCTCCATGTAGCTTTGGTTGTTTTTGTTTTAAAAATTCGAAAACCTTACGCAACAATGTAGGTACCAGTGTCGACTTGATTTGTTCTTGCTGAATCATTGTTTGCTACATCACAGATCGGATTTGAGAGAAGTGGGACTGTAAAATCGAAAGGATACTATGAAATTATGGTTAATCTGGTTGCAGTTGCAGTATGCCATACATCTACTGTACACCGGAAACTACACTATTCTGGTAAATGTCTAGATCATGAGTCAACCCTAGATCTATATTCTGGATACTACATTCCTTACAATGTATTGGGTTGGTCAATAAGTAATTTTACCGTAACCCTATACATTTCGGTGTCCCCCTTTTGTCCCCCTAGCTGGATTTTTCTACTAATCGATTTTTTCTACTAATTTTCCCCTTGTCAGAGGCATTTTGGATTTTTCTCGACGCCGAATTTATCAATTTGGCTGTTTTTGGTTTCATTAGATAGAGGACAAATAGACGCATTGCATGAGACCAAAAACAGCCAAATTGATAAATCCTGTGTCGAGAAAAATCCAAAATGCCTCTGGCAAGGGGGAAAACTAGGGGAACAAAAGGGAAACAAGGGGGACACACCGAAATGTATAGGGCCAACTAAAAATTTACGGCAAAATTACTTATTGGCCAGCCCAATACATTGTAAGGAATGTAGTATCCAGAATATAGATCTAGGGGGGAAACTGGGGGAACAAGGGGGAAAACTAGGGGAACAAAAGGGAAACAAAAGGGAAACAAGGGGGGACACCAAAATATATAGTTAGCCCTCAGCGTTTACTACTAAAAGAGACAACAGGTATCCCTTATTTCAAAAAACTTTCATTGATTGAGCATACTTTCTTATTTTTTTATTAACCACTTCTGTTTTCGTTTTGTGCAAGTTTACTAAATGAGCATATTCGGCATAGATGCTGTTCAATAAATTCTAATCTTCCCTAGCCCTAGACAACATAACAAAAGTACCGTAAAAGCTCTAATAGACAGCCATGACCGTCTATTTCTCAGCCCAAAATAATAGATAAGGGTCTTGAATGTAAAATTTTAAAAGGCTAAGTAAAATTTGAGTTTTAAACTTCAATCTTATCAAAAACGAACTTTTTGTGGCTTGTATTCGCCTCTTTATCTCGAAAGCAGTGCACGATTTTGGCAAACAAATATCGATTCCCAAAATTGCTTTTGCACATCGATTTGTAGTTTGATTGAGGGATCCGATAAAGAATCTGAATCAGTTTTTGAATTCTCTTCACAAATCTGTTTTTACCTAAAAATTTCTCCTCTCCAAACGTTTCCATTTGAGAGTTTATAATTGATTTTTCGGCATTCACCCCAACGACCTGGGAATTATAAAGATGAACTTTGTACTCCAGGAAAACAAATCTCCAGGCTTTCTTCAGGTTTTCTCCAGGCTTTCAACCACTCCAGGCTATCACTTACCATAATAAGATGTATGCCCAGTTAAAAGGCCTCCATTTAGCGATCCCTGTGAGTCGATTACTGGAATTTTTCTTCTTAATTTCATTGCAATAAATTTTCTCACAAGGTAGTGTAACCGTTTTATCAAAATCATTCAAAACGGCAGTTTTATTGAGCAATGAGCCATCAAATATTTTTGTGAGCGAATCGTTGAGCATTTGCAAGTCTTGAGAGCACTTTTCAGTGGATTGCATTGGATCTGACTGAAAATTGGAACTGTTAAACTAAACTGTTAAACTAAAATGTTAAACTAAACTATGAAATCACTCTCTTTGACCCTCACTTACACTCAATTTTGGCAACCATTTCTGCACGAGCAATTCCTCGCCTAATCCATAAACATCGAGCAACTAAACCGAGCTACAAGAAGCTTTTACTTTGAAGCAAACTTCTGGTGGATGCCAAAATTCTTCCCAACTCCTTCCTTGTTGATGTAAAAGTTTGATCATTTGCAATTGCGTATTCGCAAAATGAAAGCAAAGAAATAAAAATAAAAGCAACATTTTTCGATTTGAATTTGAATTTTTCTGAACACAAAGATCTCGTTTTTATACATTTCACACTTTGTTATCAGATTTTTTCCGAGGAAAATCTCTTTCCGAAAAAGATAGGATTCATATGGACTCGTCACCGATTAGTTAGTGATGAATCAACGGATAATTATGCTTGCGAATTAACAAATTTGTCATTCTGAAAAGATAAGTCGATGAAGTGAGTAAAGAACGCTTTTGTTAAGAGCAGTCTACAAAATTCAGAAGTTCAATGAACCCTAGAAATTCTAGGGTTCATTCTAGGGTTCATTCTAGGGTTTATTCTAGGGTTCATTCTAGGGTTCATTCTAGGGTTTATTCTAGGGTTCATTCTAGGGTTCATTCTAGGGTTTATTCTAGGGTTCATTCTAGGGTTCATTCTAGGGTTCATTCTAGGGTTCAAACTCTACATGAACCCTAGAAATTCTAGTTATGTTAATGCTAAAATAAGTAAATAGAAGTAAAAGAAGTAGAGGCGCCAGATGGCCGGCCGGTTAAGAGTCTTGTCTCTTAAGCGAAAGGTCGAGGGTTCAATCACGTTGGCAAGATAAAAATGTTTCTTTTTCCCACCAAGTGGGTTTTTTCTTTCACAATATTGGGTGATAAGGGTAATAGAGGTAACGGCCGCAGTGCTATAAAATTGTGTGGTTAGACCTTTATGTCTTATTATGTCTCCTTTGTTTGTATCACATTATTGGTTTTCAATAAATGTACTTTTTTAAAAGGAAATTCACGAGACTTCATACTTTCCAGTCTAATATAATAATAAACGAGAAAATCAACTTCTTTAGAAAAGTTTACATTCTGTCGTCGTAAACTCAAAACTTCAGAAGGTGATGAAGAGGTTGATCCTGATGAAGAAGGAGAAAAAGAGATTGAAGAAGAGAAGACTGAGACGAAGACTGAAATCAAGACTGACATCCCTGTTCTAATCAAATATCCAGTGATGGAGGGTGGAGTGACGCCATCACCATCATCTCCTGGTGCTTACCTCCCGGTGCTTATATAGATAGCTCTATATAAGCTCAATATAAGCCTCTATTCCCCGCAAAATAACATTTAAAAAGAACTCAAACAGCGTCTCAGCTCAACGAAAGTCCATTCTTCCACAAAATCTTTAAACTGTCATCTAGAGAAAACGGTTAGAGGGATCTTCCTGAAAATTTGGCAATGACAGGTAGACGATGAATACGTTGAAAGTTAGTACATCTGATAGTTGGATTCTTAAATGTTCAAAGAAAATCTTGAAGAAAATCAAAGAAAATCAAAGAAAACCGATAGAATTAAGTGCTTGCTAGCAATTTTACAGTTTCTTTTAAGTTTAGAGTTTATTCCGAAAATAAGTAAATATATTTAAAATGTAATTTCTGAAAGATTTTGGATTTAATCGAAGATTTGCGTAGTCAGAAATCGATAGAAAGCAAGGATACCCCATTTTTATCAAAAACTACCGTTCACCAATCTTTACTTTACAAAAAATGGTCAAAAACATATATCTTCCTGCCTTGTCCAGCTCTTTTTAATCTACCTACTTTGTTCAGCTCTTAGCCATCCCTGATTTCTTCAGGGATGTCCACTGCTCACCACGTGGAGGTGGCTGGATGCCAAGCAGCACCCCCACTGGGCCTAATGGTCGGCCCAGTGGGGGACAATCGATTGACAATGTTATTTTTGCTGAGTTTTTGACGATAACCCCTTTAATTAGACAAATAATGCGACTATTAGGCCCAGTGGGGGAGAGAGGGGCCTATGGGGAAAGTAACATGGTGGGGGATCATGCCAACAACATCCCCGCGCATGATCAGTTGACCATATCACGGGTCCTGTTCCGGTTTTCCGCTGAAAGAGCGTCGACACGGTGAAGACTAAAAAGGGCCAGACCCCCACGAATGGCCATATCCCCCACCAGCCCCAAATCTGCGACGACACCTCAGAGTCCAAAGCGGACCGCCCCCTTCGGATACGAGCAGACTTGCCCGGAACGAAACAGATTGCTGACCACAGGGGGAAAAGGCCCCTGTTACCTAAAAGCCCTGCGCCAGACGCTGAGCGATTACCCGTCCGCACAAAGAACGTCTCGCGGCCACTTAACATGGTGCTCTTTTACTCTTTGTGTCTCTCAAGCAAATGTTTTAAAGCTGAAAATTGGCATCCGGGGGTTTTCAAGGTTGACGGATCGATTAACAATGTTGTTTTTGTTGAGTTTTTGACGAGAATCCCTTAAATTAGACAAATAATGCAAGATCCTCTCAATTTAAGTCATTTTGTGTCAAAATAGAAAAAATTTCGGTTCTTCTTAAACCTTTAAGACTTGAGTTTTTTGAAATTGCAATTTTGCAATTAACAATTTTGCTAATCTTCGTTTTTTGATCTCCCTAGTTGTCTATTTTGATTAAAAGCTGGAATAAAACGTTGAAAGTAATCTAATGCTGTCATTTCAGAGAGATCAATTTGATAAAATGATCAAAGAACGTGCAAAAACTAGAGAAAACGGACGTAATTTTTGCCCGTATTTTACGCCATTTGAAAAATGCAGCGTGAAAATTAATCGGATCTTTTCTCAGTTTTTCTTAGAGAATTTCAGCATTTCTTGTCTTAAAAACCACAAAAATAGCGTTTAATTTTATTATTTAACAACAACAACAACAACAACAACAGCAAAAACAGCAACAACAGCAACAACAACAACAACAACAACAGCAACAACAGCAACAGCAATGGGTTAACCCATTCGAAACTTCTGCAGCGAATAATCGCTTCAGCAAAAACTCAGGAACGGACCGCTGCAGCGCTAATTACCCTAAAGTCTCGAGTATAAGTTCATCCGAGTATAAGTTCTGCCTTAATTTACATTCGCTTTAATTGCTTTGAATTTCTTTTTGTTGGGTTTTTATACATTTTTATTGTTATATAAACTCTTATTATTGTTCTTGGAGCGCGGGTGACAGCCTACAGGACTACAGGGTGACTACAGGGTGACAGCCTACAGGACTACAGGGTGACTACAGGGTGACAGCCTACAGGACTACAGGGTGACTACAGGGTGACAGCCTATCACCATTGCTATTTGTTATGTGCATGGATACATCCAGACGATAGTGTTGAAGAAGACGCTGGAAAGCATCTCTTTCGACCGCCGACGTGGACTTTGGCTGGATGAAGAGGCCAGGGAGGGATCCATAAGACTGAGCACCGGAGAGGAGCAGGGCGGACGCGCCGAGCCACGCCCGGAGCAACAAATAACAGCATAAAATTGCTATAACCCTCAATAAATTTACTTCTATTATTGTTCTTAAAAAGCAAAAAGTTATGCTGCAGCGGGGTTCGAACCATCGACACACCGCACCGGAGACAGCCGTCAATTTGCATGCGAAAACCAAACAGAACTTATACTCGCGACTTTAGGGTACATTAAATGCCGTAATAAAACTGCCATTTTACATTTAAAATTTCAATTAATATACAAATTAGAAAAAGTAAATGAGTTTGAAAGATTCTTTTGGAGATTTTTCTTTGTGAAATCATTGGGGATTGTGTAGTTGGTGAATTGAAAGCAAACGATTGATTTGTAACAAAAATCGCTCGATCATTCGGGGTGAATGGTGGATTATTTGCAGATGAGAGATTCGAAATTGAATTTTTTGCTGTACTTGGCGATTCATTACAGTAATTAGAAGCACAAATGATAAAATAGGAAGAGTTCGTCAGGGAATAGTAATCAACCTGAAACTTTGACCTCATAGTTCTCTTTTGTATTTAGAATTTTGTAAAATTGAGGTCCAATTAGCTTTTTACTTCTTTTCAAAAAGAAAAAAAGCTTTTGGCTTTATTTTAAGACAAATTTGATTTGATCTCTACAGGTTTGGTCCCTTTTCTCTACAAATTTGGTTCCTTTTCTCTATAAATTTGGTTCCTTTTCTCTACAGATTTGCTTCTATTTCTCTATAGATTTGGTTCCTTCTCCAAAAATTTGGTTCCTTTTCTCTACAGATTTGGTTCTATTTCTCTACAGATTTGGTTCCTTTTGTCTACTTTTGTCCTTTTAACAAGATTTTAAGACAATCAACCTCAAATCGTCCTTGTGCAAAAGTCGAATCTTGCCAGAAACAACCGCTAACATAAGTGTTTGTCTAAATATTATATCTAAATTAACATTTTTCTTAATTCTATTTTTTTTCTACCTTTTTGTAATAAATAAGCATACATGCTTGAGCCATACAATGAGAATTTATCTCTTTCACCAAACAAATCACTTTTTGCTCACTGAGAAAATTAATATTGGACAAATTGTTGCAAAGATCCTAAACAAGAAAGAATATTTTTCAGCTTCTTTACAAAATTTCTGGCTTTCTTGCTTTGAAAGCAGCTTTGTAAGCAGCTTTGAAAGCAGCTTTGAAAGCATCGTTGAAAGCAGCTTTGAAAGCATCGTTGAAAGCAGCTTTGAAAGCATCGTTGAAAGCAGCTTTGAAAGCATCTTTGAAAGCAGCTTTGAAAGCCGGTGATCCATAGATTCGACTATTCCTTACCCAATCACAATGCATCAAAAAATCGATCTCTGACGAGAATTGATAACCATAAATACCACCGTTATAGATTCTGACAAAATGTCTTTAGAACTTGTAAAGTTTTTTTACGATGGCGAGTTTTGCAGGAAAACATTCTCGAACATCATCGCTGATTGATTGATAATCGATGGAATAATATCGCCCATCCAATTCGCTTCCACCCAAGCCAAATCGGGAAGTAGAGTCTGAAAAGTTTATAGCTTTACAGATAAACTCAAAGGTATTGTATTAGGCTGCACATTATTGTACTGAAAATACTGTACACTATTGTACAGTTTGCAGTAAAGCCAAGCAAACAAGCCGGCCAAGTTTGAGCTTATCTTATTAGGCTGTCCAGAAAGTCTTTTCGTTTCT